GACCTTGAATTCTCTTCCCAGAGTGGCTTTTACCTTTGTTATTTCTTTACTATGATCACCAGAGATAATTATATCATCAAGCTACATGATAAGGATACACCTCTTACTTCCCTCTGCTTTGACATAGTATGATCCAATGGTCCCTGTTTGTAGCCTTGTAGCTTTTAGACCTTTGAGAATCTATCAAACCAAACTCTTAGGGATTGCTAGGGGGTAGAGTCATATATACCTCTTCTTTCAATTCTCCATTTAGGAAAGCATTTTTTATGTCCAATTGGTGTAATGGTTATTCAAGATAGGTTGCTATAGACAACAGCACCTTGATAGTGTTCAATTTGCCACTAGTGCAAAAGTTTCTTGATAATCAATGCCATAAGTCTGTGTGAATCCTCTTGCTACTAAACAGGTCTTCAACTTATCATGACTCCCATCAGCCTTATTCTTTGGGATAAAGACCCATTTGCAACTTACTAGTTTCTTGCTCCTTGGCTTTTGCACAATCTCCATGTCCCATTTTCTTCTAATTCTTTCATTTCCTCTAACACAGCCTCTCTCCATCTTGTTGTTTTTGGTGCCTCAGAGATATTTTTAGGAATACTAACATCATCAATATTAGCAATAAAGGCTCAATAACTAGGAGATAAAGCTTCATACGACAGGTGTTTTTAAGTGGGATGTTGTGTACATGATTAGGGTTTTTTTCTAAGGGCAATTGGCAGTCCCAAGTCATCTTCTGAAATCGTCCCTATATCTAGATTTTCATTAATAATCTCATCTTCCTCTCTAAGACTTTCTTCCCCAAAATCTTCCATCGGTTTAGATTCTGGTCCTACCTTAGGTACGAGGGCTTATCTACCATGCTTAATCTTTCGTGTAAACTTTGATCTCTTTACCTTTAGCACCCGTGTTCTTGTCTCCCCCCAAACTTGCATTTTCTCTTTCTTCTGGAATAAAAGAGACAGACACGGGCTCAAGTCAAGTAGTTTTAGGGTGTTTATGGTCAAGAGAATCAATAGGAGAATACTCGTGGTCATGATCAAGGATTGATTGAAATTCACTCCAGCTCTCCCCTTGAATTGAAGGAGAGGGATGAAAGGATTCATGTTTAGAAAAGGTAACATCATGACTAACAAATAGGCGCTTGGAAGAAGGATCAAAGCACTTATAGCCTTTTTGGGAAGAGGAATAACCAAGAAGGCTCAAGTTTGGAAGATAAGTGAAGGTGAATGAAGGCAGAACACCCAAAATTTTTTAAAGGAAGAGTTGTCTCAAGATGGGTGAGAGAGTGTGTTTGACGAAGGCACTCAAGTGGGGTAGAGTCGGATAATATTTTAGGGGGCATGTGATTAATAAGGTAAGTAACTGTGAGAATGGCATCCCCCAAGAAGTATTTAGAGTCATTTGTGGTGAAAAGGAGAGCACAAGCAACTTCAAGTAAGTGTCAATTCTTTTGTTTAGCCACCTCATTTTGTTGGGGATTGTTAACACAAGAAGTTTTATGAATAATTCCCTTAGACTTAAGGGAAGTCACCTAAAGATTTGTTAACATATTCAATGCCATTGTCAGTCTAGAGGACTTTGATGGACGTATGAAATTGATTTAATATTATGGTGTAGAATTCGATAAAGATAGTGTCACATTAGACTTGCCTTTCATTAAATAGACCCAGCACACACGAGCATAGTCACCAATGAAAGTAACAAACCACTTAGTGTGAGTTTGATCAGGAACACGCAAATGACCCCACACATCACTATGAACAATATAAAAAGGTTGACAAGACTTAAGACTCCAAGTGTGGAAAAGAACAATAGTGTTTGGCCAATTTACAAATATCACAATGAAAACTAGAAATTTTATTAGATGAAAATTTAGGAAACAAACAACTTAAATACTAAACATTGGGACCCATGCTTTTATGCCATAAAAAATATCAACATTTCTAGAAGTAAACATAAGGTTGTAGCGGAAATGAGACCAGAGATTACTCACGGTTGATTCATCTAGGTAATAAGGCCTATCACACTTCTCAGCATTGCTAATCATCTTCCCTGATGAGAGATCCTGGAAAATGCAATGAGTGGAAAAGAAGCGAGCACTACAGTGAGCTTGTTTAGTTAAGTTGCTTATAGGCGACAAGTTAAAAACCAGATAAGGAACATGAACAGAATCCAAATGCAAAAATTTAGAAATAATAATATTGCCCTTTCCAGCAATAGAGGAAGAGGTACTATTGGCTGTATCAATTTTCTCCCACCCACTACATAGGAAATATGATGTAAATACTGTAGAATCCGCAGTCATATGATTCGAGGCTCTAGAATCAACAATCCATCTAGACTTAGTGGAACAAGCATTGATTACATAATGAAAATTACCTTGTTTAGCCACTGAAGCATTATGAGACAGGGAAGGTGATTGCCCAGATTGTAAGGACTTGAGCATGTCCATAAGTTTATTTAACTGGTCCTTATCAATAGCAGGTAGTGAATCGGCTTTGTTAGGAGGATCAGAGGTAACTGGTAGCCATGGGATTTACCCTTATGAGGTTTCCAATTAAGAGGCTTCCCATGAAGATCCCATCGCTTGTCTTTTGAGTGGCCTGTCTTTTTACAATGGTCACACACAATCTTCCCTTTTGCATATTTATGGCCCTAGGCATAATGCCTGCTTACTAAAGTAGAAGATTCAGATTGAGGAGTAGCAAGAGAAAGGGTAGATAACAGCACCTTGTGACGAGAGGCCTCTCAGCAAACTTCAGCAAATGCATCACTAGAAGGTAAGGGGGAGTGAGCCAATATGCAATTATGAACATCATCCAAGGATTAATGAAGACCAGCCAAAAATTGAAAGACCTACTCATCATTAATTCATTGCTTATACTTTACTGCATTGGTGGCACATGACCACTCCTCTTTTCTGTTGAGGTCAATTTCCTGTCAAATAGCAACTAATTTCAACTAGAATTCAGTTAACTTTCGATCTCCTTGTTTAACCCCGCCAACTTCGTGTCTTAAGATCATAGAGTCGTGAACCCTTTTCACCATCTAAATATGACTCCTTGACTGCTTCCTAAATATCTCGCGTTGTCGGAAGAAATATGAAGGAATGCCAAATTTGTGGTGTCATAGCGTTGACTAGCCATGAAGCTACCATAGAGTTCCCACTTTATCATAGCCTTCGAGTCTGATGCGTCTAGAGCCTTTAAGTGGCTAGTAATAAGACCTAGCTTGCCTTGCCCTCTGATAGCAAGTCGGATTGCCTGGGCCCATTCACGATAGTTGCAACCATTAAACTTTTCTAAGACGAGGAGAAAAGAGGATCCTTTGGTAGAACTTGACCCTTAAGGAGCTCCGCTGTGTGGGTGTAGGAGTGAGTCACCCTTTGCTCTAGAACCAGAACCCATCGTTGAAGGCTTAGGTAGGCACAAGGGCAACTCTAGAGGTAGGTGTGAGTGCAACTCTGGACAGCCACAACTGTCGCCTTAGTGCAACTCTAGACAATGGTCGTGAATGGCCAACTCATTTTTGTGCGACTTTGGACAGCGGGAAGCGTTGCCTACGTGCGACTCTATATAGCAGGAAGTGTTGCCTATGTGCGACTCTAGACTGTGGTCGTGCAACTCACCATCATGCGACTCTTGAACATACGACCTTGACATTGTGTTGTTGTCGTGCGAGTTCAATGTGGGTGAGGTGTTGATTGGAGAAGCAAAATAGAAGTCGTTCAAGTTTGATGCTGGTGTTGGATCATCGAAAGAATTTTCTAGCTCAGGTGTGCAAGGTGTTGATACCATGTGACATTCTGGATTAGGAATTCCTCCATAATATTATTCACAAGAGACTGTAAATATATATACAAATTATAGGGATTCCTATATAGGAAATAAAATCAAATGAAATAAAAATATTAACTCCCATAATCTCATCTAATCATATCACAATATCTAGGGAGTATATCTCTCTAAGATAAATACATTTAATATTAGTTTGACTATTCTCACAAACTTCAATAATTGTAAGGCTCCACACGTGTCATAGTGCTTCACCATGACGCTACTCTCTGAGGACATGGACTAATTGGAGCTATTTTTCCTAGAATGATTAGAATTTGATTGCCTATAGGCTCCATTAGTTCCCAAAGAAAAAAAAAGGAAAAAAAAAAAAGAAACTTCATTAGTAATCAATCCAAAGGCTTCCCAAAGCTTAAATACTAGGAACTATATTGCTTCCAAGAGATAGCTCCATTAAGATAAAAATTTTTTTTTTTACCACCATTAAGATAAATTGTTTTAAAATTTTAAAAATAATTAACAAATAGAAACCATTCGCCTTACAAAATGGTGATTGAAAAGATAATTACTAAAGACTAACAAAGCAATGATTGAATCCAAAATAAAACCAATTAAATATTAAAATAATTGATAATATATCCCCTATATTCTCTTTCCACTCCATTCCAATCTTGGGGAAAGGCGTACTTAGACTTGCTATTTTTGTTAAAGTTTCTCATCACACGGTGGCTGCCTTTTTCTTTCTTTCATTTTTAGAGACACTTAGAGGGACTGAGTAGTTTCATTGTGTTAATATTATTGTCTCTTATGGTTGTGGATTTTTTCCCCCTAAGGGAAGGGGGCGATGCCCATAACAAAAGATTTGCATGTTTGGCTGAGAGTGCATCGACACTTAGTGCTCTTATCATAATATAGAGGCCACCATGCCTGGTTGCTCCTAGAGGAACAAAACCGGAGGCAAGGTGACTTCCTCGTCAAAATCACTCCATCTTACAATTCTAAATGAGAGCACAAGTTTAAAAGAAAAGCTCATATCAAAAGACTAGCCTATTTAGAAAGAGAACCTCTTGAATTTAGAAACCTTGCTTCACTTGTGAGACTTCTTGGTGTGAAATTTAGACAGACAGTGACTTCTAATCGTATATGCTTGATTAGTTGTTCAATATTGATTTGGATTACTTACTATGAATTTCTGCCCTTTTGCAGATGGAAGTGAGGCTAAGCGAAGTGCCTGACCTCTTGCATCAAGATAAGATACGGATAGAGGAGGACTTGAAGCTATTTTTGCAGCCTGTAAGAGAGAAGTTGCTTCAATTTGAACAGGAATTGAAAGATAGGTAGAAAGAGATAGCTCCTGTATTTGTGATGAACTATATGTAGTTCGTCCCCATTTATTTGGGACTACTATTTCCGGTACGCATCCGTTTGAAAATATCTTGTTTCAATACTTCACCCAAAAAAAATATTAAAAGTCCTTTTAGATAACCAAGCACCATGCATGGAGAGGCTTAAGAATTCCTGGTCAATTATTGGGATTTATTGAACTTGAAGGTGTAACTGACTTTAGTGGACTATGGATCATGTGTTTTGCGGACCTTGGATTTTCCTTTTAACAAATTGTATTTCGTGTTGTCTAAAAGCAGATTTAGCCTACCAACTTCTTGTTAGAACTTGAAAAAGAATTGCATCAAACAGAAACTAATCACTAAAGCCTGAATCCTGTTCACTAGTGCAGATGTTCTTGCAAATCTGGGTCCTCCATAGAGTAATCATTAGAAATAGCAGCACGCTTATAAAGACGGTAAATTGAGCGTTTATCAAATTTTTAATACTTTTTTAAACTTCTCTGAAAAATATAATATACTGTGTGTTTGAATAAATTTAAGTTCTAAAATTTGTTAGCATGAATGTTATAGTTAAAATTAATTTACAAAGAAAAATTTTGAGCAAGAGCTTCTAAAATACTTGAAGTTTGGCTTTAACACAAAATAATGTACAAAATAGAATTGTTGAATGTAAAGAAATAAGGATAGGAAAAAAGTGTAAATTGGGATCCATCCCAATTTAATTTGTTTTTTGATTGGTTTTAGATATTCTTTTATTAAAGATAATCATGTTTGAGATACAGTCGGGTATTAAATGTGAGTACATTTTTTAATAAATATTTAAATTTTAGGTTGTCACATTGTAAGAGATTAAGCTCTTTTGTTAAATCTAATTCCCATTAGTTAATTTAATTCTATCTAGTTGAGCCAATGTCCATTTCTCAATAATTTATAAGTTTGAATTTTGCACTTGTAACAATTGTTGCAACTTTCATTTTCACATAAAATTTTTCTCTTAAGAAAAAAGTACTAAAAAATTAGACTGGTCATTGAACTAGTTAAGACAATGTGGGTCAAGGGTAGTAACACAATTAGAGATCAACTTGGAATCAAATTGATCTTAATTTAAATAATATAATATAATTTATATACATAAAAATATTCACATTTGAATGTGAAAAAAATAAATATTTAAATAAAAAATCTTTAGTTATGCTCAAAGGGTCATTGGTTTGGGGAGTTAAATGTTTGTAATTAAATTAATATATTTTTAATTTTAAGTTAGGTTAGATTATTTTAAATAAAGGGTTAAGGGACCCACTATGCAATATTTTATAATAAAAATATTAAAAAAAATCAAATATGGGGACTACATAATGGGAGAACATCAGAAGTATTGAGGTAGAGAATTTTTAATGTTGAATGATAATATTAACCCATAATTAAGTTTAAGATCTCCACAAATCCTTTGAGTAAAATTGAGAGCAAAATTGACCCTTAAATAGAAAAGCTAAAAATGATAATGTAAAACTCCAACAAATTAATAAAAATAATAAATATTCATTTAAAAAAAGTACAAATCTACCTTGACCTTTTAAAAAAGTACACTTAGTATTTTAATATTTAAAAAGGGCACGATATCACCCTCACCTTTTTCAAATTGGTATAATGTCATTTGATGTGACGATTTGATCATAGTGATTATTAGTTGATCATTTGTGCTTAAGTGGCATGCCCACATTCTTCCTCCTCTTGTCTTTCTGTTCTCAAGAAATCTTCATCAAATTTGGGCTTGAAACTGAAGAAATCAATATCTCATAATTAAATTGATGCTTGCAAGATTGAACTAGCAAGCCACGAGTTCAATAATTTCCCTAACCTTGCCATTAGATTTGAACAGCTCTTCCTCCCTCCTTTCTAAGTGCCTTGACCTATGCTAAATATAAATTGGAGTTAGAAGGTCAAGGCACCACTCTAGGTAGTAATTCAAGGGTCACTTGTTCAACTGAAGGTCAGATTAGAGTCAAACCAAACTCAATTCAAATAATAAAATTTGATAAATCAAGTAAATAATAGCTCAAGTCCAAAGGAAGCAAATTAAAATGTCTCAAGAAAAATAGGAAAGAAATCACAGAATCTCCATCTCAAGCCGTCATGATTCAAACTCTCCTTTAAGCAGCCCAAGAATCTCCAATGAATTAGAACAACGACAATCTTGAAGGTGGCTCCAAATATCCCCAAAACCCTTTTTTTTCTTCTATGACAAAATAAAATGAGACGTCTTGCTATGGTGAAAGTTGCAATTTTAGAGTTCAATCCACCTTCTATCCACCTTTGGAAGCCAAAACCATAAATTTAAGTGATTCTATCCACCTTCTCATTTTTGCAAAAATTGCCTTCTTTGTATTTTTTTTTAATTGAACTTTCTCATTTCTAAGAAGGGCTTCCAAAGCTTCTCCAAATGTTTAGAAATAAGATAACAACAATTAAACCTAAAATACCCAAAACCAAAACCTAAATATGTGAAAAGTAAGTAATGGTGGGCAATCCGAAACGAAATGCATGCATATATTCCTAACTCTTGAATATTTAAAATATATAAAAGTGTACCAATTAATTGTCTAAAAAATTCTAAAAAAATGTGTTGAAAACAACGCAAAATCCTAGATGTTAACAATATTGTATCTCTGGCAAAAAAAAAAAAGTATCAGTCCATATATGAGATAAGTGCTTAATTTCTAACTATGATTTGAAAACAGAGTAAGGTATTGGTGAGGAAGCAGGCCAAACAAAAATTGGGATTGAACAATAAACTGTAAATGAATAAAAATAAATAAATACAAATCATGAAAACTACTTTTTGTTTTCATAGCCTCTCTCTAGCAAACAATATCGATATTTCCAAAAAAAAAAATTAGACTTAAGGCATTCATATATTCCAACTAATTTCTCCAAAATTAATTAATATGAGAAATGCGGATATACAAAACAAATTTAAGTACATACAGTTGAGTTGAATTTTAAATAAACCCAAAAAATGCAATGTGAAAGCATGTTTTATCTATTGAGGTTCCCAAATTCTATATATCATAAATAGTGCTTCTTCCTTTTTAAATTTTTAAAAACTTTATTCCAAATCTAGCCTTTTATTATAGAAAAGGGAGACACACGCATTCACACACGCACACAAGCATGTCAATGTTAAATTTAAATTTAAAATCTCTTTTAAGTAAGGAATGTAGCACTGTCATTAAAATAAATGACAATTGACACCTACTTTTTAAATAAAATATTTTGCATTGTACATGTAAACACATGTCTAATCAATTTGAAATCCCAAAACAGTTCTTATAGTGCATGTGCGACTTTTGATTTTGTGATAAAACATTGACTTCAACTTAGAGTTATAGTGACAATTTTGCTTGTTATTAATCTCATCTTTGATTCAAACTGAAGAAACAAAAATACTATATAACTATCAATGTTTACGCTTAAATTAAAATTAAATCCCAAAAAGAGTACAATGCAATACATTAGATACTATAATTTTAAAATGTTAAAAATAAGTGAATGAGGCTATAAAACATTCAAAACATTTTAAATTTAAAATAAATATATTAATTAAATCACATACATATATAAACTTTTATCAGTATCTTTTATGGGTTTAAATATTATTTTTTGATACAATGGGTTTAAATATTTTGAAGTTGAGAACCCGTGGATTTCATAAATTTTACCTTTTAAATAAAGAATACTAAGATTTTATGTTTTTTATAATAAAAAATAAAATGAGCTAAAGTATTAGAAAGGAAATTTTCACATAAATTCACAAATAACAAACAATTTCATAAAATTTAAATACATCTTTTTTATTATTATGACTTGTACTATTTATTGAATATATATATATATATATATAATAGAAGAATAATAAGCATATGTTTATGGATGACATGTGTCCTATTTTTTCAAATATTGCTATTTCGTGAAGCCACTTAGGATCAGTTTAAGAAATTAAGTTTAATTTATATTTCTATTATATTTCTCAATTATTTTTTAATTCTCACTCTCATTATCTCCACTATTAACTTCCATTATCTTAACTCCCTTATTAATTTCATCATTTATCTCTAAAATACTGCTATGTTGTGAAGCCACGTAGGATCAGTATAAGAAATTAGTTAATTAAATTTTTAAATATAATTAAATATATATAACTTCCCAAATTATAATTAAATTTTAAAAATTCAATTTGAAACAATCAATATATCTTCTATCTATAAATCTCTATAAGTTATACCACTCCACGTCACAACCAGAAGAAGGATTTTATTGTGTGATATTAATTTTTTCTAATTTATAAGATTATAATTTGAAAATGTAACTTCTCTCCCATTATCTCAAAATCTCAAATATAATTTCCCAACTAATTCACAAGTTAAAATTTTATTTTTAAAAATATTAAATATATCTATATAAATAGTACATATTCCTATATAAAATTATTATTTTGAGACTCAACAAAAATTGCTTTTCTTTATCCTTAATATTCTCTTTCATGATCTCAAATATAACTTCCTGAATACTGTCATTTTGTGAATAACTTTGAATTGGCATAATAATTTTGTAAATAATGATTTAAATAATTTTCTTGTAAATTAAATTATATAAATACACAAATTAAAATTGAATTAAATTATTTTTTATTTTTTATACCAATGGTATTATAATCGTGTGAATTAATAGAAGAATTTTGTGACTAAATATGAATTTTTTTTCCAATTTATAAGATTGTAATTTGAAAATATAACTTATCTCCTGTGATTTGAAAATCTCAAATACAATTTAATACCTATTCCTATATAAAATTATTATTTTCAAAATTGACAAAAACTAATTTTCTTTATCTTTGATATTCTCTCCCATGATCTTAAATATAACTTCATGAATATTGCCATTTCGTGAATAATTTTGATTGGTATAATAATTTTATGAATAATAATTTAAATGATTTTATTACAAATTAAATCATAAATAGAAAAATTAAAACTGATTTATAAACGTATGAATTAATAAAATAATTATATTAAATTCTTTATATGTTTTAAATTAAGTAATTAATAGATATTAAGTTAAATTCTAATGTTTAAATTAAATATAATAACATAATTTTCTTGATACTCTAATGTGCCATCTTGTGCAAACATGTCAAGGATAAAATTAAACTGTTATTTATAATTATATTATCTAAAAATTATGAAAAAAT